AAGGGCAGCATTCTCCATAATACAAAATCTTATCTTTGGACATGTAGGAATCTTTTTGTATTTGGAGTACAAACTAATGAGGCTGCTGATTAACTCCCCTCTATCCCATTAGCCAGTGAAAACTGCATGTTTGCTCAATCTGTTTTTAAATTAGACCAAATTAGGTCCTTTGCTTCTCCTTGAAGCCTTGTTGTTTGGAGAAGACTCCTTGTTTTTGGACGGTTATTCCTAGTCAGCACATGCAGCAAGGTTACCTATTGCTTTTCTTGCATTTCTGCTATTTAGTTAAAGTAATTCCCTCTAAATCATCCTACTTGAAGATCTAATGATTGGTAAGCATTCTTAATAACTGACTTGTAGCGTATCAGATCTGCAGGTTGAGATAGCAGGAGGGGGGTGGGGGGCCTGGGGGGGGATGACAGCAGTGGTGGAGTGCCCAGCCCAGTTTGACAAGTCGACCTTTCTGAAAGCATTCAACATTGAAAACTCAGAAACAAAGAAAAAATCCCAAGACCCTACTGACTTATTGTAGGACAGTACCACCAGAAATTTTTGCAATATTTGAGAATATTGATACACTTAAATACTAAGCTTTTGGGCTTTTTGTGGCGACTATTTCTTGCTAAATATTTTGCAGAAGTTGGAGTTCGTACAAAGCTGGGACAAATGAATGTATATCATTGCCTAAGCAAATTGTGTTCTGCTTTTTAATAGGTCCTATCAATAGGGCTTATTGTGCACTGCTGGACAAACATGGTCCTACGAGAGAGATATGACTCACACTCCCGTGGTGGCTCCCAAGCACCTACTCATGACTCACAGACATCATCCTGATCTTTATCACTGAGGTCAGCTTCAAAAGAGAACAAAGTCTACTGTTTCAGGATTTGTTTTGTCCCCAGTGTAGCCTTAATGTAGCAAGCAGCTGTGTCAGCCCCAACCCTTTCTGCCATCACAGACCTCAAGGCTTCAACAGACCTAAACTCTTCTGCACCACAGCTAGCCAAGTGTTCACTTATGCTCTTCATTGTTTTCTCATGCATTTCCAGTTTTTACTTTCAGCAGAGGTTGCCCCTCTGCTTTTTAAATAACAGCCCCAGCCCCCAGTTCCTTCTAGGTGCCTGGGGGAAAGGGGAAGAAAGTTAACTCCTTCCTTTCTTACAAGAACAAATACCAAATTACGGTGTGACAAATTTCTCAGAGGCTTCTCTCCCTTCTCCCTGCTGAGAATGGTGGGGTCCCCTCCGTTGTATGTGCACTGCAGTTGCTCTGAAGCAAGGGGAGCTGCAAGTCTCATGACATTGCTGGCAACTAGAAATAGGGCGGTTTTTGGGTGCAGTGTAGTTTCAGAGTGGAAGCTGAGGTTTCCCTTCTGTGCTGGAGCAGAACTGGTACTCAGCAGATGAGTCACGTCACTGGGTGAATGACCAACGCAAGGAAAGGAGAAGTTGTTTTCTTTGACAGTGATACAACACAGCAAAGCCCTCCATGACTTTCATAAGAAAAATGTTCTGTTTCCAACAGGTTTTACTACCAAACATGCCAAAAATATAAATAAAAAATAATCACACGTTTGCTGCATAGGGAGAAACAACAGCCTTGGCACTGGAAAGAGGCTTTTTGTGTTTCAGGCATCATTTCCACTGTTCTGCTCTTTATGACCAAAGCCATTTTTCTGCCCAAACTCGAGGCAGTGACATGAGGTACATAGTGCCTGCTCCAGCTGGGGCACCTGCTGCCCCTGTCTTAACTCCTGTTGCCTTCTTCCTCTGCAGCTTCTCCCAGGCTTCAGGTCTTCTGAGGATGCTGCCCGGACCTCCTCAGAGCAAATCAGCGCTAGGAGGAATCAAAAGTTGGAAAAATCGTGGTGTTAAATAGTCAGTGAGGGAACCTGGAGCTTGTAACGGCAGGAAATCTTGCATAAAACACTAGGCTAACTGAAAATGAATGAGGATGGCACCTGGGGTTAAAAACAGAGTGCCATGTCTGGTGTTTTAGGCCTGGATCTGCTGAGGTGAGGATGGGGGAGCTGAGAAGTTTTCAGTTCCCACCCCACACAGCATCACCCTCACACCACACGCTTCTGCCCTGCGTTAGCACAGCTGCAGCTCCTCATTCCCCTCATTTGTTGTGTACCACCCCAGAGACTGCTGACACCAGCAACTGCTGCTCCAGCCTGGTGTCTCCACGGCCAGCTTCTGGGAGCGTATGCGCTAGCTACAGCAAACTCACTGCTGCATGGGGTCAGTTCCCACACCCCGGGGCAAAGCACGAGGGACCCTCACACGCGTTTCAAATGGTCCTGGCGCTTCTTGCCCTTGGCCAGGGCACAGCTCCCCTCCTCTCCAGCTGGGATGGGGGAGCTGGCCAGGTCTGAGTGTGCAGCACCAGTATATGAGCTAGGAGATCAGTGCCTGGAGCAGGGCCTGGCACTGCCATAGCCCCTGCAAGGACAGACAGGCCCTGACTGCTGCTGCCTGCCTGCCCCGGCAAGCCCAGCAGCCTGACACGGCAGCCCAACCATCCCTGCATGACAGCCGCTGTCTCTATGAAACCTTCATGATACAGGCAGGAGACTCTTCTCTCTGATTTTGCCTGATAATCACCTAATGTCCTGAAGAAGTGTCACTGTATTTGAGAGCTCTAAAGGTAAAAGTGAGGCTCTTCTTCCCAGTGCTCAGACCAATGCAGAGCTACCTGAACCTGCCGTTAGGCTGCTGACCTGGCAAGGCAAGATCCACGGCAGCAGAGACAAAAGCCACGTGGGTCCAAGTCAGTGCCAAGAAGGAGGGCTTGTGTGACCCAGAGCTCATCTGCTTCCCTGTGCTCTCCCAGCTGCACTGACTGATTTAATAAAAGCCAGTAACTCTTCCTACAAATTTGCTTTGCTAAAGCCGTGTGCCATCCCCCTCCCTGCCCTGGTCTGCCTGCTCAGCCTGTAGGACACTGGGACACTGCCTGGAGGTCTCCGACAGATGGAGAGGACAAAGCACTGCAGCAGCACCCCAGCACCACCAGTATAAGACACAAATGAGTAACAGTGAAGAAGCAAACCAGGCTGTTGAGTAACAGAGCGCGCTCGTAAGGCTTCATGTGCTCCCATCAGCCCTGCGGAGCCCACACAGCCATCGCCTTCCCACCAGGCGAGGCTGTGACCGCAGTGGCTCAGCTGTCGCCCAGGCTGCCACACAGCCACCTTCCACCCGGAAGAGAATATTTGATGAGTCCCCCAGAGCCAATATACAGGGAGCTGCAGAACATTTTTTTAAAATAACTGCTTTTAGAGCGAACCAATGTGTTAAGCAATTCCGTGAAATTAAAGTCAAGGATTTTATCTCCTGAGCTAAATCACAGGCAAGTTTGTACTGTTCTTTAGATGACCTCTCTCCTCAGGTTCTTGACCAAATTTTAGCCTTCCATTGGCCACAAAGCAAGACTCGGTATTAAGCATCCTCAGAGTCCTTCTAACCTCTGACAGCAATTTGGTAGCATAACACTTTACACCCTGTTGTGAGTGATAAATTCCTACAAAAACTAGAAGTAGCCCAAGCATCTAGAAGAAAGGTGCTAATGGCAAACCTTCAGCCCTAAATGTGCCCAGGTCAAGCATTGCTGCTTCTAACCAACTCACCGCAATGAGAGTTTTTCCATTGATTCCAGGCCTCAGGTGGATGTCGTCGCTCTTTGGAGCACTGTGTCTTACTGGGCTCTTGCTGCAGTAGTAGGCAGCTGCAGGTTGGTGGCTTTGCATGTGGAGACCCTAACAAGTGGCTTTGGGGGCTGCAGTGAGGTGTAGTTAAGCCAGGAGTCTGGTGTGGGCTGACTTGATGCCCCTCTCCTGTCCCCTCCTCTTTAAAAGGGAAACCCAAGTCAAACTTCCAAGTTAAACTGTGGCCATGACTATACTCCTGCCTGTTCTGCAGAATTAAATCGGAAGACCGAGAAAAAGCATAAATCTGCAAGCAACAGAAAAATGATGGCACTGGATGGTGAAATACCAACAAAGTCAGAAATCATACGCAATAAAATCCTTTGAAGCCTTTTGTATTTGCCCTGGAAAAGAAAATATGTTGCACTAATCAAGCACTTTTTAAGGCATTTTTACAAACATCAGCACTCAGGGCATCCCCGTAACATAGATCGACATTATCTCTGTTGTAATCAGGCAGATTGAGTTGTGTCCCACAGAGTGAATCAGTGTCAGTCTGTTGCATCCTTGCTCAATCATTACTCAAAATGCCCCCAAATTCTCTCTTTTATTATGCCTCTGGCTCCCACACCGTAAAAATGAAATGCTAGCATTTCCTTCCACTCCTGTTCTGCTTTACCAGGAGAAAACCAGAGGATGGCAGTTAGGAGGCTCACCACCTACAGGCACATTCCCTCTTCCTCTATCAATGAGCTCCAGTCCGATAGCAAAACTGACATTCCTGGGGCATCATCCGCCCCCTCTGTGGTCCCTTTACCACACTCTAACAAAAAAGACTCAAGGACAAGCAGGCTGTACAATCAGTATTCGCCAAGCTGTAAAAGCCAGAGGGCGTCCATTTCCAGCACAGTCCCTGGCTCCTGGCAGCCAGGTATGTCCTAGCAGGGGAACATGCACTTGAGGGTACACCTTGCTGGTATTACTGGCTAGCAGCACTGCACCCAGCTAGACCTGGATTTGAAGCCTACAGACATTTGTGTCTCCACTCCTTCACATCCTCTCTTCCTCACCTTGGTCCTTCAGGCTGCTCAGCAATTATTTGCTCTATAAAAGTAGGTAGATAACCACTTCACAGAGCGTCTCTGCACCACCAGCCAGGGCCTCATGTGCCAAAGCCTGAGAAGGTTATGTAGTTCCCCTGGGTTAAAGAAAGCAGTAAGACTGCTATATTTCTCAGAGCAGAAGGCAGACAGGAAGCAGAGTTTCCTTTGGTAAAGTTTACCATTCACTATCTGCAGCCTTGCATGGCTGCTCATGTGGAAAAGCTGGCACTCTACTGAATTCTTTCTATTTAATATTCTGATTCCATGGCATTCACAAGGTTCTCATACTCAGGATTCTTCCTGATGCACATGCTGTCGTTGTCTTTCATAGTGAAAGTATCATTGGATGTTTCGGTCTTAGAGTTTGTCTCCTTGTGTAGGCATCTATCAGGGACCTCCACATCAGTCTCCAATCTCGTGACATCTGCAGTGCTACAGCTGAAACAACAGAAACATTATTGAGAAGGACTAAACCATAAGTAATTTGATTTACAACATCTACCACGTGATCTGTGGAACAGCAAAATTTATACTAATCTAGTGAGGGCCTGCAAGGCTCTGAAAGACACTAGAACATAATGTTAGAAGCATTACACACACAAAAAGAAGCACTAAACAGTTAACACTGGTGCCATAAACTCTCAGGGCGTTATCATATTGTACTCAAAAGAGTTACCAGCAGACAGTCTAGCCTTTAGAAAATAACTACCAGTAATAACTGGGAAAAAGGGCAATGTGTGAGGCTACAGATGGCTAAGGTACATGAACAGGAAAGTACTATGAAGCGATTGAAGGCTGAGATTAGGACAAGGCAGAAGATATGTTTGGATAATTGCAAGCAAATAGGAATTGCACAAAATAATACTTGGATAGGCTTTGGGATGTGTTTCTTAAATAGAAAGGCAGGTACAGAAGGAACTTATCTTGAGGGAAGAGCTGAGAATTCCTGTCCTTTGCACTGTGAAATAATGGTGGGAATTTACTACAGAGAACAGAGTTCCCAAGGCATCTGCAAGGCAGAGTGAAGGACCCAGAGTATCTTTCTCTCATTCCAACATATTAAAGAACAGACTCTCTTTGGCTACCTCCTGCACTGAAACGTTAAAGTCCTCATGCTGCTAACTAAACGGACTGTCAAGGTATTCAGATCCTCCTCCTGTAAGTGAAAGGAATCTTTGGCTTTTCACTGAGCAAAGAGGCTTGCTAGAAAGTGACATCAGTACGATGCCCTCAGAGACTTCTTAATGCTCCAAGTGAAAAACTGTACTCACAAAGCGACTTCATAGAGAGGTTCTGGAAAAAAAGAAGAATCAAAGATGTGCATCAACGTATTTTATGATTAATGTGCCACAGAAGAAAACCCAGCTGCTCCCAGGTATTCCCACCTCCAGGAATAACGCTCCCGCCCTGCCTCTCCCCGGGCGGGACCAGCTAGGGCTGGGCTGGGCTTGGAGCGGGGCGGGGGTGACGGTGGGGATGTCGAGGACGGGGGTGATGGGGACGGGGGTGATGGGGATTGGGGTGATGACGGGGATGTCGGGGACAGGGGTGACGGTGGGGATG